GTTCAGCCTGATAATCAGTGACAGTGAGTGACAGGCATCAAAACAGTGGGTGAAACAAGATAAAGTCACTGTACGGACAGCCATGACAACTTCTACATGAACGCTTGTTTGTATGACGCCCTGAGAGAGTATGAAAATGATCTCTGAATCACTGAGACAGACAGTAGTTCATCACAACGCTCCAAAACACACGGCGGCAATTGAAAAGGGCCTCCCACACGGGCTCTGACTAATATCTGGCACCCATAGACAGGTGGGACTTGTTTAAAATGTGACCTTTGCAAGTGCTGGGACCTGTCACAAAAATCCAATAAGCCAATAAGAGTGAGAGGGATTGATATGGCGTGGGGAAAATCCTTCAGTGAGTGGACGTGGCAGCTTTGTTGCTAACAGATACATTTCGAGGTATAATTAAATGCTCAAAGTTATCCAGAAGCCTTCTGGGCTTCAGTCATTTAGAAATGGCTTTGCTAAATGGGTGATTAAACAAAGGACGAACAAACAGAAATATAATTTAGAGTGGGAATGTTGCCTAAGGAATGTTCTATAGGATCCTGTAGCTCAGGTGGTGAAGAACTGGACACAAATGTCAAAATGAATAAATGTAAATGTAATCCTAATGGGAATCAAATAAGATTCTACTGGATAAATAGAAGTTCCATATGGATTTATATTTATTCTTATTTGATTCTAAGAGTCCTCTTTGGAGTTGATTGATTGATTGATTGATTGATTGATTGATTGATTGACCTGGCTTCTACCCCAGGTTCCCAAGTTCTCTCTTCATGATGTGCTCATAGGATACACACACAGGCAGGGACTTGGTAGTATGGCGCAGTGGGTATTCTCGTTCCCAAAGCGTCTCGACGCAGCTCGAGTTCCTGAAGGGGACGCTGCGTCTCTTTGCCATACTCCCTGCGTCTCTGCAGGCGCTACTTCATCGAAGCTGGTTTGCGCCCGGCCGGATGTGCCTTTATGCTTTCTGGTGCTTACGTCATCATGCTCGTGACGTCTCGCTGCTCCATTGGACGGATTTGACACGTGCTTCAGAACGCGGTCACGCAAGGGGCGTTCCCAAAGCGTCTCGACGCAGCGTCCAACCAACCATGGTTACATACGTAACCTAGAGACGATTCTAGAGGTCAGAAGGGCAAGAACAGTATAAACCTACAGTATTCAGTGTGTTTGCTAAGGCTGCCATCACTATTATTATTATTCAATACCATTTTATAGTTTTTATTAGTTATTTAATAAATGAATCAATTATTCAGATAATACAAATATTTAATTAAATATTGATATTAACTGTATTACATTGCTGTCAGTATAATTGTCTCTGCAGGCGCTACTTCATCGAAGCTGGTTTGCGCCCGGCCGGATGTGCCTTTATGCTTTCTGGTGCTTACGTCATCATGCTCGTGACGTCTCGCTGCTCCATTGGACGGATTTGACACGTGCTTCAGAACGCGGTCACGCAAGGGGCGTTCCCAAAGCGTCTCGACGCAGCGTCCAACCAACCATGGTTACATACGTAACCTAGAGACGATTCTAGAGGTCAGAAGGGCAAGAACAGTATAAACCTACAGTATTCAGTGTGTTTGCTAAGGCTGCCATCACTATTATTATTATTCAATACCATTTTATAGTTTTTATTAGTTATTTAATAAATGAATCAATTATTCAGATAATACAAATATTTAATTAAATATTGATATTAACTGTATTACATTGCTGTCAGTATAATTGAGATTTTTCTATGAACCTTAAAAAAACTAAATCATGTTAATATGCAAAAATCGCTTTCTTAAAGAGTATCTTTGTGTTTTCCAGTTTTAAACTCATTTAAATATCCTTTAAACAAGATAAGTTTACCTAAGAAGCAAAACTGCAAGATAGTAAGGCTCATTTTCAGAGAGCTTATATTTAAAACTGTAAGGGTATTTTATTTTAAGGCACTGGCATATTTTATTTATTTATTTATTTATTTGTTGTACTTTTTTTTAACCACAAGGTTTATTGAAGATACATTCTCTGAAAACAAGCTTTAATATCCAACGCAGTTTTGCATATGTAGCTTGTTTTAAGGACATTTATAGGAGCTTTTTTTTTTTGCCTTAGCATAACATACAGAAACTCACTTCATAAAGTTTAGTTGATGTTTAAGTGTTAGCAAGGTACTTGAGAAATAATTATCAGATATATTTCACCTTTATATCTGTGAGAACATGAACTCACACCCACCGCTCTTAACAGCAGTCAGTGTGAGCGCCAGACCCGCGTACAGGCCAGCGACGGGGCAGAGCCACTCTCTAACATTCAGCCTACACACACACACGCACACACACACGCACACACACACACACACACAAACACACACACACACACAAACACATGCGCACACACACACACACACACACGCGCGCACACACACACACACACACACACACACACACACACACACACATACACAGGCACAGATGCTAAACATGGTGTACTGTACAGATATGTCTGGTTTCAACGGGACACAGCTGTACGGATTTGGATTGTGCAAATATGAAATATAGTTCAGGGCTAAAGTATTTATTCCCATGGTGTCACAATGCATAATGCAGGACATTCAGTGTTGTTCCAAATCTATCTGTTTGCAGCTGGATCATAAATGAATCAGTTATTAAGATAATACAAATAGTTTATGAAATATTGATATTAACTGTTTGTTACATTTCCATTGCTATATATTCCAGAGGTCCTTTTTTGTATTATTATTATTATTATAAGAAACATATTTTTAATTAAATTAAAATTTATTCGAATAGCACGATTCATAATAAATATTATTGCAAAGCAGCAAAAAATAAAAAAGATGTATTATTTATTATTAGTAGTAGTAATATAATAAAGCACTTTTCATGATTAAATATTGTTGCAAAATAGCATATAAAATAAAATATTATCTGGAAAATATTTACTTTGTATCAAGTTACCAGTTTTTTATTATTATTATTATTATTATTAATAATAATAATAATAATAATAAACATGACTGTAATGTGTTGAATTTTTGTGATCTTTGACAGAGGCAGGATCCTGTGGCCTGGGGACCGGAGTTTGCTGCTATGTCTCGTGATGTGCTGAACATTCGCTACACCCTCCTGCCGTATTTGTACACTTTGATGTATGAAGCCCACGTTCACGGAAACACTGTGGTCAGACCGCTGTTGCACGAGTGAGTGTTCACCAGCACTCATGTTTCTCTATAGTTCACCCACTAATGAAAATCAGTTTGTCATCATTTGCTCCCCCTCATGCAATTTCAAAACCATGAGTTTTTAAAACAATAAAAAAAAAATGGACGTGACATTTTAGAAACCTTTTTTATTATTATTTATCTATTCAAACTTTAAGGGAACATTCCATTTTTATCATTTTGTAAACATTATGAGAATGTTTCTTTTGAATGTTCCCTGAATGTTCTGAAACAATAGTCACATTTAAAAAATCTCAAACATTCTACTAAAACATTTCAGAAAAATGTTCCATGAATAAATTTACAAAATTGATTTTATATACAAAGAAAGCATATTATTAAATCAAGTAAAGTGTCTACTTTAATGTTTAAAACGGCTTTTGTGAAAATGAAATAAATGGGTGAAATAATGTTCCATTATTATTCCGCATACGAGATTTCATACAAATGAAACAACATGCTTACATATTCTGACCTGTCCTTATTAAAATACATAAAAGAATAATTGATCATACTACATTTTATTATAGTTTAAATTATTAAAAACTTACAAATGGTTAAAACCAAGTGGTTTGAAGGATAGTAACAAAGATCGGTAAAGATTTAAAATGACAGTTAATTTTTTTTTTTTTTTAAGGCTGCACTGTGATCCTTAAATAGAGTCTTTTAATGTCATTTAGTGATTCTTGTTCTGAATATGCCTGACGGGAAATGTCTTCAAGTTACACTGAAAGACATTTTAGCAGGTATTCTGTAAATGTGTGATAGTAATTATTTGTTTGCTGAGAAAGCAAATAAATAATAGTAAAAATGTCATAATTCTAATGTATGGGGGGGGGGGGGGCAACAACATTTAAACCTCTATTAAACTTCTATTGTTTTGATGCTAGAAAACCAATTTCCATCTTTGACTCATTTAATGTTTTTGTGCTAACATTTGGAGAGCATTATAAGACCAGATAACTTTGAACAAACATTATATTGACATTATTGGAAAAATAGTTTTTCATAACTTTGAGAGAACTTTAAGGAAAAACTTAAAGGCTTGTGAGTAAATGATGACAGAAGTTTCCTTTTCGACCTTCATTCATGTTCTGCTCCTCTCTTTCCTTCCAAATATATCTTCATTACACCATCTTTTCTTTCTGACACTATTTTCAGTCCATCCTCTCGTTTCAATTACATTTCCCCCAAAGCATCATGAGAATGACTAATCAGAACTCGGGCCTCTGTATTGGTCTTATATTCCTGTATCTAATGATTTTTTTTTTGCCTGCTTTGGTATCGTTGCTCTGTCCTGTCTAACCTTCCTCTTCCACGCTGTTTTTAGCGGCCTGATCTATTGGACTGAATGTACTATTTTGTTCAGCATCATCTTCATTTCATGCTCTAAACCTCTCTCAGTTTTACTCAGTTTTTCTCTCTCATGAACTGCATGTACACTGTTGAGTGGGTGATGTTCTCAATGCTGTGTTCTGTACTGTAGGTTTGTCACTGATGAGAGAACATGGGACATCGACGGACAGTTCCTCTGGGGTCCCGCTCTTCTAATCACACCTGCTTTGAACCCGGTATGAACACAAAAACACCCTGGCTACGGTCACACTACAAGCCAAAGTATTCAGTAGTTCATTTTGAGGTTGTTTAATGTTTACATAACGCCCCTGAAATGACCAACATGCTATTTTTTTTTTAAATAAAAATTTATTTATTTTTTAGTTAGTATAATTTAATTAATTAATCATTTAAATTAATGTATTTGTATTATTTACTAATTATAATTAGTACATTTGAATTATATTACTTAACTTACTATTTTAATATAAAAATATGTATACTAAATATTTTAGTAAGTATATACAGTATACATATATACAGTGGGTACGGAAAGTATTCAGACCCCCTTAAATTTTTCACTCTTTGTTATATTGCAGCCATTTGCTAAAATCATTTAAGTTAATTTTTTTTCCTCAACAAAAATTAACCTGCATGTGAGAGCAGGACACATCCTGCCCTGGCAGAAACCAGAGAGCAACACGCACTACAGGTGAAGAGAGCCTGCATCTTTGCTAAGCCCTGTTTAAGGAGCCATTTTTCTATACTTGCATAGTACCTTTCCCTTTTCAGGAAGCTTCTTGCACCACAAACAGTCAATTTCCCACTTCTCTCTGTGCCTTTAAGACTTCACACTGTTGTTTATCAAGAAGATGAGCAAGTTTCTGAACACTGAATAATTAATCATATGTAAATGTGAGTGGTTGTATGTTATGTTTTGTTTTTTCTTGTAGTCGTCTGAATCCTCTGGGTCTGATTGTTGCTCTTAATGATGAAGGTGTAGCACATGGATCCCTGTTCTGGGATGACGGAGAGGGAATCAGTGAGTTTTGCTTGTGTGTGTGTGTGTGTGTGTGTGTGTAGGGATGGGAATCATGAGGAATTGAATGGTTTTGATTTCTCTTGATGCTTCCAGTTCCATTAATGATTTATTCAACCCAGGTTCATTGGAAATATGTGGAAATATGACATTGATACTGTATTGTGATGCTTTCAAAGTGAAGTGTTCAGCGAGTAGCTTTTATCCAAAACAGACTATTGCAACTCTTGCAACTTTTTATTAAGTTGGCTGTACATATTGCGGCAGTCCGGAAGTGAAATATCCAGTGAATGGCGCTAATAGTTTAATGTTCTTGCGGTGGAAAGTAACATACTACCTACACTAAGCCCCACCATAAACATATCCAATATTGTTAATAAAAGTGATAAAAACAAATTTTTCTCTGCAGTGCCATGCTGTACCGGGTGCGCTACCGAGCAAGTTAACTACATCAGAAAATCCATACATATGGAGATAGTTATGTGATGCGAATGTCAAAATGTGTTAGTTTACAAATCACATACTATAGTAAAAGCATTCTGAGGTCATTACATTGTATTGTGCAAAGAAACATGTGAAAATAAGTCTCGATTAATCACTGATCTGCCCCTGTAATCATAATTGATGTGAAAAGGAATACAATTTGGTATCATATTACCGCACTAGTGTGCACTGAATTGTATGTATAGGCATGTTTTTAGATTTTAGCAAAACTGTAGGAAGAAGCACATATTTCCAAAGAGCCTATGTTGGATTTATTACTTTTTTCTTGTAGCAAATTGCTAACATATTCTAATTTAAAATCTCATCAGCATTAGAAGCAATTAAAGTGTGTTCTTAAAGCTTACCGTTATATATACAGTATATCAGTTTCTGTATTTGTTTGAGTATGAAGATCATTTATCACATTGTTTTAAAATACTGTGCTTCTTTGAATCTTTTTTCTTTCTCCTAACAGATACTGTTCAGAATGGGCGATACCTCTTGACAACTTTCTCTGTGTTTGATGTACGTTATTATGTTTTGAAGAAAGCTAAGTGTCCAGTTCTTTCAGCTTTATTTGGATTGTGGTCATTAAATCCAATAGGGAATCCAAGATTGTCCATCTCACTTGAAGCCAAACATCTGTGGCCACTCTCTATTTATGAACAAATCCAGATCCAAAACTGTTTCATGCAGTAGCAGCTCAAGGTTATTTGAGCGGTGGGGAAAACACGGCCCTATGGAGTTGAGAACTGTTTGTAAAACGAGGTCAGATTCAGCTAGTTTGAGTTGTCTCGGCACAGATGTTACATAAATACCGAAACAACACAATTTTCTGTTATTATTCATTCTGTTCTAGTAAGATTAAAGTGAGTTAATCTCAAGAAACGGGTCATAGGTCCAAGTTTGAATTTTCCTCACACATATTCATTACTATAATGTATCTGGATGTTATCATATTCAACAGCATTTCTGTTCATGCTGTAAATGGGCATGTGTGTGTAACAGCTGTGATGTGTGATATGTGATTATGTTTATAGCGTATTCTTACCAGCGAGGTTTCCGTAAATGGGCTGGCCGAGGCTGACAGACTGACCCTGGGTGTCGTGAGGGTTTGGGGTGTAACAGAGGAATTCTCTCAGGTTACCATGAAAGTGGCTGGGAAGCCTGATGCCATCTTGAAACACATCTATAACCCTGAGGTGAGATGCTTCATGCAAACATATACTTTAGCCATTCATATACCATTCATACTGTCAGAACCACAGATACAATTATGAGAAATGATACCTTTTATGTAGACGTCAAGAGGCGCTGCTTGAAAAATAAAAGCAGTTTCATTTTTATTCATTCGAAAAAAAAATAAGTAAATAAATCATTACCCACGCAATGTTTAAAAAAAGTAAACTACCAGGTAAATAAATAAATTATATTTTATAATTATTTTGTTTAGTCATTTTTAAATGCAGCTTTTAAAATGCATTTTTTTTAATGGATTGTTCTTGAAGCTATGTGTTTGCCAGTTTATAAAAATGATAGATTTTAGTAAACGTATGCAATCAAATATTTTCATGTTTTAAGATATATTACTTTCATAAGAATGAGGAATTTATAAATACTTATATTATTTATATTGAAAATATTTATACATTATGGAAGTGTTTGTTTGCTTCTTTAATTTATCCTGGTCAAATTTCACCCCAAAATCAATACAAGGAAATATGTAATTGTATTGTATTTAATTATAAAATATATTTTTTAAAGAGACTTTAATATTTTACTTGTAACATTTCTAAGATATATTATTTTCTTAACAAAACAAGAATATTATACATAATTATATAATTTAAAACAAAATAAAAAACAATTTATTCATAGACGTACAGTATTTGTTTGCTGCTTTATACAGTATATCCTGGTTATATTTCATTCCAAAATCAATACAAAGAAATATGAAATTATATTTAATATATAATATAATATAAAATAAATTATATTTTATTTTAAATTAAATTATTTGTCATTTTAAAGAGATTTTCATGTAAATATTTCTAAGAGATATATATTTTTTATTTTTATATAATATTTTTAATTATTATATTATTAAAATTGAAAATTATTTATATATTATGGAAGTATTTGTTTGCTGCCTTCATGCTGAGACCAATTAT